AGTACAGAAGGAAAAAGCCTACTGTTGTCATGATTTGTGCAAACTCCTGCAAACTTTTCACAGCCAGAAATGCAATAAGGGCATGATATCACTATCTATTTGAAGAACTTGAAATTATTTTGACTTCTTTTTTGCAAGCTGTCTCTCTATAGAGAGATGTGTTTATATGCATTGTGGTGTAAATCATTTATGCTGCCATTTCACTTGAATCTGAAATTCACACTTATGTATCAATACACTGATGCAACATAGCTGACCTCAGAAAAATACACATAGCATGGACTCTGACCAGTTTCTACAGAGGGAATCTACCCTAAGGACTCCTTTGAGTCCCCTGTGCAATAAATACTATGTAAAGCTGACATCGCAGTCTTAAGCAGGACGCAAATACTGCAGGGGGCTTGTAAAGTCCTTTTGTTCTAGAGAGATTTTTAGCTAGGGGATAACACCAGAATATCAGCCAGGTCAGCAAGTACCAATCCAGAATTCCAAAACACAAGTGACACCTCAGAAATACTGTATGCTAAACAAAGCTGAATATGCTTCGTTACAGATATCAGTCTCAAGCTATTTTCAGGACTGACAAAAGTTGACAGCAGAGATGAAGAGGTTATCTGCTTTAAGAATAAGTAGTTCAGTAGAACTTATCATCATACCACTTCTGGATCCAAAGAAAATTAGCAGTCAATTTAAAACATTTGAATTTCACCCAGTTGATACTTCATTCCACTCATCAGATGAGGGTTTTTTTTTGTCCTGCTTTAGTTTCCCTTTCTACAATGTCCTCTTATATCATAAGTTGAAACACAAAAATAAAATGAGAAATCTGGGCTCCATGATTTAAATTAAATGTACTTGCCTTCAGGCCTTTTATCAAAGGAACTGGATCCAAGTTTAACAAAAAGCATTGGAGATCTCAGAGAGAGAGATCCAGGGGTACAGACTTGGCACAAAACACAGCATGAGTTTTCGCTATCAGAACAACAGAAGTGAAAATTACAATTCATCAGATGCATTTTCTAAAACATCAGGATAATGCCTGCAGATACACATAAAATGCCACAGGGCAGCTCTCTACAACTGTGTTCAGGGAAAAGGAATTCTAGTCACAGAAATAAGCAAATGCCCCTAAAATAAGGAAATATCATAATGAAAAAGTCTCCACGAGTTTGTCAGTGACTTAATTTCACAGGTTTCTGGCAATTCCCGTGTCAAATGTAAGGCCTCACTCCCTCAGGTAATACATTTATGTAATCATTTATCAAAATACTGTTAAGATTTTCAAATTTACTTTTAGAATTGCTTTACCTTTATTTCCACAAGCCGTATCAGTCACACACACAAGCATGCAAACACACAGTTACTGACTCGCACATCTCCCTGTAGTGACGCGACACCAGATTCAATTGGTCTGTTAGATTTCCAAAGCAGTCTCTACGGATTAATCACAACTACCATCTTTCCAACCATCTCGCCAGCGCTCATCCACACGAGAGCAGTCAAATTCAGATTTCCCCAGTTTCCTGTTCACTTCATTATGAAGAAGACACAACCACTGGGAGAAGTTATTTCTGTTGCTAGTATCAGGCTGATTCGTACGTAATCTGCAGAGAGGGAAGAGGAAACAAACATTACTTCTTTACAGCCACCAGCTCCAATACCCAAAGCAGGTACATAGCACACAGCCAGCCAGACTCGCCTTTTCTGCTATTGCAAGATGAGTCCTAAAGAGACCCCAGAAGAGAGCACACAGACATCAGTAATTATCAGGGGCCAAACCTCCACTATAAAATACTGATGGCTGCACCCGTCTTGGTTTCATTCAGTGCCTAGTCTTGACAACCGGAAAAGGCGCAGGCGTCAAACAGCTTATCTATGATAAAAAGCAAGAAGTACTCGAGTTCATCAAAACACCGAATTAAAAAAAAAAAGAGGTAGAATAATACATGAAAAAAACTGAGCAGTTGTTTTGCCACGTGATGCCTGCTAAGTCAATAATTAGGTTTCATCATCCAGAAAAGAGGAGTTGAAACTTTCAAGAAACAAGTTGACAGTAACAGGAGTAAAAAACTTTATCAAACATCACAGCCCATTTCGGTCTCTGCCTCCACTGCTGAGGTTGCCAATAAAGGGGATTTTCTGGAGTAGAAGAACACTTGCCTCCTGAAAGCCAAATTATTTCAATTCCTAGTCTAATTCCACAACTGAGTGCAAGTCCAGTTTGAGCCAGAAAATCCCAAAATCACCTCAGGGAGGCCTTGGAGGCAACATACAAACTAACAGCATGACGAAAGGTATTTGTTTTCTGAGTAAGTGTATCTCTGATGCAATAATGGAAGAAAGGAGTTCCAGTAGTCACAAAACCCAACTGCAGGAAGAGCTGCTGATATGCAATAGCTGCTGCAGCCCAGCATTTCAGGCTAGCCCCTTCAGCAGCCGCAGCCACCAAAAAGACAAAGAATGAAGCCCCTCACCTTTCCCTCAGATCCTCAGCGCAGTGCTCGCAGGGGTAAAACTTGGAGAAGAGGTTGATGAACTCCCTCATCTCCTTCTGCTGGGCACCGGTGGGGTGGTCGGGGTAGTACGCTGCCATGGTGTGCAGGAACGCCCAGGTGTTGCGGCCCAGCTGCTCGCTGTCGAGGGGACAGTCCGGCGGTGGCTCTTTCTCCTCCACAACCGTCAGGTCCTGGAGCAGGAGGAAGGGTTGTAAGGGGACGACGGTGCTTGGTGGGGAAACGGCCCCTTTGCACTCGGCTGGGAGGACGAGATGGGGGGGACAGGCCCGTCACACCCTCAGCGGGGGGCAAATGGCTGAGCCCCCCTTCACACCCGGTGGGGAGAAGATGGAGGCCCCGTTCATATCCCCCCCAGAGGGGAAACCCTGGCCCTGGCCCCTTC